ACTTTTCTACTGTGTTGCACTGACGTTAGCGGACCGGCCTATTGTTGTGTATGTCGTTTCTTTGTCAGGTCCCCAAGTGCTGCCGACTAACGGCTTGAGAACCTTGTTTCTGCTCCTGTTCTTTTCGAAAATAGCTGTGGTATGCGCGGACGACTTATAAAGACTATCGAATGTGACCCCTAGAACTTTGGGGTAAAATCCAACTTTTTAAACTTGGCTGGAGGGTTGTTCTATCGACATTCTCGAACAGTTTGGGGTGACTAAGGGTATCAAATGCCTTTGTTACACGGCCTGTTCTGGTTGAGTCCTTCCGCATTCACAGAATAGCATTCACGAATGCTAGGAAGTAGTAGAGCCTCAATTGTCTTAGCTACTGGCGACAAAAGTGAGATCGGACTGCATGATTCAATCCCACGACGGCCGGTTATATGATTGACTCGGAGAAATCAACTTCCGAGCAAGGGCTGTCAACGCAGCAAGTACATGTTGAATTTTTCAAACTTAGGAGCTTCTCCGCGGCAGCATTCTGCGCAATCGCAACTCCTGATAACGTATCTTTTCTCCAATTCAACTGCATGGACTTCGAAGGAAAATCAACGAGGTAGTGGATTCTATGAGTCGAAGAAGTATTATGGTCACTGAGATCCAGGAAACGAAGCTGAACAACACCTGCAGTCTTCAGAGTTGCGATGGATACAACGTAATTAGAAAGGATCGTACAAGATCCTATTGCACCATTCTGTGAAGTACAGATCTATCTCGCTTGAGCTAGACTCTAGTGACCCATACATGGAATGTATGGGGTAGCGGTCAAGTGTGGTACAGCTGAGGTAGAGGTGCTTATCGTTCACATTCCGCCGTTAAATAGTTGTGCCCCGCGTTATTTGCCTGATGTTAGCCATCTTTTGGAAGGCAATAACCGTCTGGTACTAGGGAATTTCAATGCGGATCATGAGTTATGGCATTCCGTTCTAGGTAATAACCAGAGGGGCATGGCGCTAGCCGAGTAAATTGATAGCTCAACGTTTTGCCCACCAGGATAAGGAGAGACTGCCAAAGTTCACCGGACATTTCCATCGTGTCTCCAGGTCTGACGAATGACGTGGCTTGGCAACCCGTCATATCATTGGGGTCAGATCACCTCCCTATTATCATATCCATCAACAGACCACCCGACTTCATAACTTCTGAACGCCGTACTTTTATTAATCATGGGGAAGCCAATTGGCTTGGAGTTCAGGAATTTCACCCAATCGTCGCTTCAGAAAACTGTCCGATCCTTCTGATGCTCGGGTGGCAGAAAGGAATTTCCGGGACATCATTACTGCTGCAGCCGCCCGCTAAATACCTGCGGGTCGTATACCCGAACTAAGACCAAAATTCCCAGCAGATGCAGCAGGATCAGCGAATGAGCGTGATGAGCTTCGTCGTACTAATCCCAGAGTCAGAGAACTGACGTTGGAGGTGAACATGTTAGTCAGCGAGCACTAGCGGAAAAAGTGGCTAGAACATCTGAAGTGTTGCAACATCAGTACCGGAGTAAGTAAATGGTGTGCAACGGTTAAGTCGCTCTCGAACCCTGGAAGAAAGGATGATCGGAAGTCTGTCTAATTTAACGGCGCTGAGGTGACAGATCCGAAGAAGTACGCGTGTTATTTCAACCGGCAGTTTATAGAGCATCCGGAGTGTGAGCCGTATACGCTCTCTTCAAGTGGAGGAGTAACCAACAAAATTTACATTGGAGGATGTTGCAAGTGTCATCAAGACGCGAAATCATCCAAGGTGATGTTGAAGCTGATTGATGAGCCAAGAGTAGAGTACCTTAATAAAGTCCTTAACTTGTCGATAGCCACCCTTATAGTTCCCGATGGCTGGAAAATGGGTAGGGTGGTCCGGCTACCGAAGCCAGGCAATGATGCCAGCAAAGGTGAGTCATACAGGCAAAAGTAGTGGGGTTGACTGCTGTCGTCTACGTGAAAAAAAAATTAAAAATACAACAAAAACATTCGTTTTCGTTTTATGACAAATCACCACGATTTATATTGAATCGAATCACATATCTGCTGAAAAAATTTTGTTTTTGTTTACTTTTTTTTGGCGATGATTGATTTGATCGATAACTCATACAAAACAAATATTGAAATCTCATCATTGCTTGTGAGAAACATAAAAAAGTGGTTCGTGTGTTTTCATATAATTTTTAGTTTTAAATTGATTTTGAAACGTTTGTTATGATGATTTTTTGCTTTTTTTCAAATTGTTTTATATAAACACATATAATATATAAACACCTACATTGTTGTTGTTGTTCTTGGTATTATTAATATAATGTCTGAGTGTATGTGTTTGTATGGAAACGCAAAAAATTATGATACCACAATTTCTCTAAGATTTCTACAGTTTTTTTAGTTGTTGTTTTATATTTTAATTAAATTATAAAAAAATATATAACCCTATGAATCTGATTTGTGTGTTTTTTTGTATCTCTGTGTAGTATATATTAATTGTTTTTTTTACATACAAATATAACTAACAAGTTGTTTTTGTTTTATATATGACTACATTAAATTATTATTAATTTCTTATTTATTTTTTGTTTTTGCTGCTGTTGATCTTACAAATATATATATATATGTTATGTGTATATTAAATGTTATAATTTTGTTTTTTAACAATTCCTTGGCGCGATTTTTTTGTTCTATAAAATATAAATATTTTCCAGTTAAACTAAAAATGTATGTATGTATATGTGTACAAAAAAATATTATATAGAAACGAAAACTTAAATCAGAATTTTTTTAATGTTATGATTATTAAAGCTTTAAATGTTTTTTGTTTTGTTTTTCTCTTTCCTTTTTTTAATATGAAAATATATGATTAGAGATAAATAATATTAAAGTCTAAAAAATATATGTTTGTATTTAGTTTTTTGTTTTGTTTGTTGTTTTTAACACAAAATAATAATCTCGTTTTCATGTGACATATGACTAGATATAAATCAGAGAAAAATATATATATTTTTGTTTTTGTAACTATTATTGTTGTTGCAAATGCAACGACACATTGAATGTAGATCTTTCGGAGTGTTGCGCTATCTTGACCATTAGTTTTTTGTAGTAAATTGTGGAAAACACGTTCTCGGCAACAGTACCAGCATAAGTGTGTGTCAAAATCAATTTACTGAAATAAAACAAAAAAATAACATTTATTTTAAAAACCAAATCTAAATTTATAAAAAATAAGATAGTATTATACTAAGAACAAGGTTGTTATCATGGTATAGTTATTACAAGGTAGGGCACAGCTACCAACTGATTACAATTTTTTTCTCAAGGTGGCTTGTTCCATCAAATCAAAATACATATGTTGTGTGTGTATTGTTTTCAATAATATGTCAAATAAATTTAAAATAAATTGAAATACATATATTCAAATTTAATTGAAATGAAAATTATGTTTCTAATATGTTCGTCTGGAAGTAATTACTTTGTTATGGATGAAACAAACATTTGATGGTATTCCCTACTGGATTTTGGGAAGAAATCATAACCTTTCACCTTTTTCGCGTTTTTAGTTTTGTATTGAAAAAATGTCAAATAAACACAAACACTTGTTGCGTATATTTATTTTATTTTTGCAAAAGAAGCCACACGTGCATAGTTGCTTTTTTGCTATTCACCTCAAGCTGCCCTACCTTGTATTATTGTACCATGGTTGTTATATAGTAATAGTTTGGGACCGAAAATAGCTTTTTTGAACTATTCAAGACCGGTGGTCAGATGTTGGTCAGGAGCATGCACCAGCTCATTAGTACAATTTAGCTAGAAGGATGCATGCCCAATGATTGGAACCTCAGAATTCTATGTCGCGTGCACAAAAATGAAAACAAGACGATATGTACCAACTATAGGGGAATTAGTCTCCTTCCCATCGCTGGAAAAGACCTACGAAAAACACATCGAAACATTCCACATATTCGTCGACTATAAAGTCATTCGTCAGCCCTATCCGTTCAGAGGTGTTTAAAGCAATGTCAGCGGTCGGCATTTCTGCAAAATTAAAACGGCTATGCAGAATAGCTGTAACTGGCACAAAGTCAGCAGTTAAAATCGGAAAGGACCTCTCGGAGCCCTTTAATACCGAACGAGAGTTCAGACAAGGTGACAGTTTGTCGTGTGACCTGTTTTACAGGTTCATACCAGATGCAAATGTGAACAAAAATAGCAAACTGTACACCAAACAGCATATGTTACTCGCCTACGCAGGCGAGGGGTTTCGGCACGGAGTTGGTCGCGTTGCTGTGCCAATCTGGATGCCCTGGATGGATAATTTGGACTCATTGGAGGAATTCTGCCCGCCGGAATGAAGCGTTTAGCCGCTTTTAGAATTGTTTCTCGGAAAATCTTCTCACCCTTTCTGGCACATACGGGTGGCTCATAGAACTTTAGGATTCCTCAATGAATTTTGTGAAGCCGTGCCAGTTGGCTTTATTATAATTTATGAAAGTACGCTGATCGGGCCCCACAAATCGCTGGATGGGAATCGGGCCCGTGACCAGGATGGGAATATGGTCTGAATTTAAAGCTACCTTGGTTTGGAAGTATACGGAAGGAGCGATGGACTGACGATGGAAATATCCGGAGAGCTCAAACACCTGGCCGTGACTTCCTCATTGATGGAATCGAAATCGGACTCGTCTATCTGGTTTGCAATAAGAATACCGCAAGGATCGTTAGGAAGTTGAGTATACCATATCTCATGATGAGCGTTGAAATCGCCAAGAACAATTTTATTATCTCTCTGCAGCAGGTGGATGATATCTGGCCCCAATGCTGTTGACGGGCGGAATATATAAATTGACAATTTCAATTTGCTATACAAATACAATTCCGTTAGGTGGACACAATTTCAGAATAGTCGGAATGAACTGAAATGCTCAAAACCTCCAGGAAAGGATCAGACTTGGAAAGAGATGGAGGCGAAGTCAGGGTATATCTTACATCTCGCTGGATGATGAATGCGAGACTCCCACCATGATCTCTATCTCTGTCTCGCCGAAACAATTCTGAAATGTATTATAATCACGGATACAACCCACTGAAAGAATGGGTCATTTTTTAAATTCAATTCAAGTAATTTTTACGAATGGGAACCTAGCCACAAGGTCAAGATCGGTTCCAGAAATCTCTATACTCTACTACTACTCCAAAATCTTAAATCTAACAATAGTTTTATATCATTATTAGAGCTATAGTTTTAGAAAAGTATTGTCAAGTCCTTTCATATTAATTAAATAATAATAATTAATCAGAAATACATATATAAGTTCTTAACACTTACCTATAAAATAGTGACTTTGAAGAAACAAAAAACTGCTGACTGCCAAAATCGTATGATTCTCCTACAAAAACAATCACATGCTCGCCCAATTTGTTTGGAAGCATACAAAATAGTTGTACTCCTGTTTGGCTCATCATCTCCGATTTTCGATAGCTTTTGAGTTAATGAATTTGTATAGTATGTAAAAATAATCTGGTAATACCTTCTTTCGCTGTTCGCTGTTGTTGTGTAGTTGCAATAGAAAAAAATCCATTGGCGGTTTATTCATTCATTATTATTAGTAGTAGTAGATGGAGAGTCATTTGTGAATGGAATTAGTAATTTGATTTTAAAAAATCTTTCGTTTTCTGCGATAGTTGTTTTAAAACAAAACAAAGGGAAAAGTAGATTGAAATAGGCAGCGGCGGCAGCAGCAGAGGTCGGTTTTTTATAGTGTTGTTGTTGATGTTATTGAGAAAAGTTTATATATAATAGAGTATATATTTCTACGATATGATTTTTTTGTTTGTTTTACATTTTTCTCTACTCATCATCATTGGCGGTGTATTGTACTATGCCCGCCATGTCAAGCTATTAACCTTTCAGGTTATTACACATTTCAATTTCGTTCTTTGTTAGTTTTCCTCTTCGTGATGAGAATGATCCTGCTGTTGCTGCTGTTGTTGTTGTTCTGATGTTGTTGGTTGTTGTTGCTGATGATGATGGTGGTAGTAATATGGATTGCCTACGTAATATGTACGCAATACTCCATCCACTCACATTTGCCGATATGGAGAATGCATTTTTAGCCATTGTAATACCAAGGAGGGACCACCCGCCTGTATCTCTGGCGGTATGGTACTCAATGGACACTTGTCAATGTTGAGATATTTTAAATTTGTACACAGCGCCAGTTCATAGGGCAGTTTCTCCAAACAAGGATTCTGATTGATATAGAGATTTTCCAAATTCTCCAAGGAACCAATTTCTTCGGGTAAGAATTGTAAATTATTTTCACTTACAGATAAGTGTGTTAGATTTGTCAGATGGCCAATGCTACGCGGCAGCATAGATATTTGATTGGTTTGGAGAATGAGTTTTTGCAGTTCATGCAGTAGGCCAATTTCATTGGGCAGCACTTCGATACGATTCTCCTCGAGGTCGAGTATGCGCAGCTTACGCAATTGTCCAATCGTATTGGGTATCTTTTTGAGCATATTATTGGATAGTATTAGAATTTCGAGATTTTGTAAATTCATAATGTCGTCGGGCAGCTTTTGCAGAGCATTTGTGGCCAGATTGAGCTCCACCATGTTGACCCAGGTGCCCACATCTAATGGCAATGCGGTCAGGACATTCTCTTTCATATTCAATTTGGTGAGACCCTTGGCCCGTGAGAATATACCATAGGGTATTTTGTCAATGCGATTGTGTTCCAAATTAATACTATACACGTTTGTGAATTGCGCCGGCCCACCTGTGGGATAGCTACTGAAAGCGTTACGCGATAAGGTGATGGTAGTCAGAGCACTCAGTGACGCCAGCAGACCATCAGGCAGTTGTGTAATACTGTTACCCTCCACATTGAATTCATCCATGCATTTACAGTTCTTCAGCGAGTTGGGTATGCAACTCAGGCGATTATATCGCAAACCCAGTCGCACGAGATTTTTTAAATTTCCAATACTTTCGGGTATGTCCAGCAGTTCATTGTGCTGCAAATCCAAAGCACTCAAATTAACACAGTTTCCAATGTCCTCGGGCAAATGTTCCAAATGATTGTGACTAACATCTAGGGTGGTCAAATTGACCAAAGCTCCTATACAATCGCCCAGCACCCGTATTTTATTCTCTCGCAAACTCAACATGGTTAGGTTGGTCAGATTGCGCAGATCATTGGCCACCGTGGTGATGCGATTGAAACGCAAATACAGCGTGGTGAGAGAACGTAGTTTATATATAACGGCTGGTATTTCGGCCAGTTTATTGTGTCTCAAATCGAGCACCTTTAATTGTTTGCAATGCTGCAGTGAATCCGGCAGCGAAGTCAGTGAGTTTTCATTTAAAGCCAACGTTTTCAAATTCACCAAATGTCCAATTTCTTGGGGCAATTGACCGATTTTGTTGCTATACAAATACAATTCCGTTAGGTGGACACAATCTTTGACGCTGGGCGGTATGACAGTTATTGAGGATTTACTTAAATCCAAGCGTTTAATTCCTGGCAATGAAAAAATAACAATTTAATTAATATCAAATAAACTATTCTATTGATGGATGACCTTACCTTCATCTCGACACCTCTGCAGTGCCTTTAATACATCCTGATCCGCCTGTATGGGTTTGGGTTTTTTCATTGTCGGCTTGGGTTTATTTGATTCGGGGTGCTTTACAGTCACCATTTTGGGTCTGGTCTCTGGTGGCATTTCGTTGTTATTTGAACTACTGCTTCCCTGATGATGATGCTGCTGATTATGATGTGTGGATGATGATGATGACGACCCCGCCACTGATGATGATCCTAGTAATGTGGGTGCACTTAGATTGCCAAAACAATTAGTTGTTAGTGTTACAGCACCACCACCACCGCCTCCACCAGTACAGGAATTTACTGTTGTACCACTACTACTACCGCCGCCACCACCACCGCCCGCACAGGCAGTTGTTGTCTCTTGTTGTAAATCGTCCGATGCTAACGATGTCGATGATGCTGTTGCACCCACCGATGAACACAAGTTCATAATTTTTCCCAGTTTTACGTTTGGTAAAGACAATTTGCCGCCCAAAACGAAATATGTTTATTTTCACAATTCCAGACGAAAAAAACAACAATGAAAAAATTAATAGGAATTTTGATAGTTAAGGTGGCGCGCGGTTGTCGTCTTGTGATTCACTTGCCGATTATTTGTGTGATCAGTTTTGTAGGTTATGTGTTTTGAATGATTCTGAAAAGAGAGAAGAAACAAAAAGAGAATTGAATACTTGGGTGCTATCAGAAGGGTTTTTTTTATTTCCTAAATAGTAGAAGAGGATTTTATATGTGTTTGTGAGTCTTTTTAAAAATTGTTGTTAGATAGGCGGATGAGAAGTCGAGAAGATAGTCGTCGGTTCCCTTCACACTCCCACCGTTATATTATTTATGGCCAAGAGATCGCCTAAAATCCCAGTGTTAAGGGTGCTATTTTTAATTAGATTTTGTGCCAATTTCCGTCTCGTCAATCAAGGGATATTTTTCATTTGGTCAGAAGTTCTGTGGACGATCCATCACTTGGCCTACTTCAACGTAGACCACTAAACCATTATTATTCTATCTTTCACTTTCGGAGTGCACCTCCTTCCTGATTATTTACGTATACCAGTACAAGCTGCGAGGTTACCCAACTCCAATGTCACTGAACGATGGAGGCGTCAATTATACCGGAGGGAACTCTACCGGTAAGTGCACACGACGACGCAATAAGAGAACAAAATGTAATCCGAAAAGAACTTCATCAGTTCAAGAATATTCAGTGACCTTCGTCAGCGGCATGTTGTCGTATTGTGATGACAGATGATCGGCCTTTCAAATTGGTATATACGGATGCGAACATAAACTCAAAAATCAATGAGTTATTTCCCAACGGGTTTATCAAACAATCTTTCAGTTCTTACAGTTCGCTCATCAATCTGGCAGCGAAAAAGGAACGGATTCTGGTGTCTCTGTGGGCATTACCGGCACCTAAATAGCAAATCGAATCGGCTACGGTGGGGAAAGTATGTCAGTACCACATACCTCAAGGATGGATCCATGGCAGATGCCGCTGGAAGAAGGAAGTAAGAAATTCCAGCCGTTCAAGAATATTCATGGAAACAGATGATCAACCTTTCAGCCAGCAATCCAGCCATGCAGCCCATTATAGACTCTAAAATCAATGAGCTATTGTCCAGCGTGTTTATCAAAAATCCCCTCTAGTCCCTACAACAGTTCGACCATCACACGAACACAAAAAAGAATGAATCCTGAAGTCTCTGTGTGGATTTCCGGCATTTAAAAGCAAGTCGGATCCCGACGCGTACCTTAAGGAGGAATACTGGCAGATCCCCCTGGAACAAGGTAGTAAGAAACTCCAGCAGTTGAAGGATATTCATGGCCCTTCTACAGCGACATGCCATCGAATTGTGATGAAAGATGATCGACCTTTCAAATAACGATACTCGGCCCACAAGCCAGCCATGCAGAATTACTATATAATCAATGAGCTATACCTCAAATTTATTCGGAAGTTCTCCAGGAACTATCCGAATGATATTGCGAGGGACTTCTAGATTGAAAGGATTCCTAGACCTAGGTGGTATTCGTACCACCCCGGTAGACCCTTCAAAGAAGGTGAAAACTGTTGGTGGTCCTAGCACATCTAGGAAGCTGGTGGCTGAGACGTCTAAGCAGTTATTAGTGAATGCTCCAAAGGTACCAAGCGCGAAGCACGTGCCTGCGTCTGCTGTGCCTATATCTACCGGGAGCCGGATCTCGATCACAGTCCGCAGCTGTGAAGAGAAAGAGGTCCTCGGAGGAACAACAACCTGTTGCTAAGAGACCCACGCAGTCGTCAGTTGCATAAAGTTCTGCTTCGTTCGCGTCGGTAGTAGTGTCGATGGAGAAACCTGCTTAGAGCGATGAGGGTGTGGTGAAAGCCGAACCCGCTGTCTCGAAGCAGGCAGCAAAAAATCAATCGATGACAATTTATATTCGATTATAATTTATATCGTATAGTTGCCTGTTCCTGACGACATGCTCTTTTGTTTGGATTTATGATTTTACATTAAACAGTCGGCCACTAATGACGACTAATGTGACCGTGTCACTTTATGAAGAATACAAATCAAGGTGTAATTTTAAGATCTATTACGTGCCAATTATCTTCCTGCCGCATGATGCCTTATTGAGGAGAGCGAGAAACCTAGAGACAATATATATGGCATACCACACTAAGTAATGATGATTGTGATGGGATGGATGATACCCGACGAACGGACGGACGATATGCAAAACAAAAGGACAAAAATTGCACAAATCTATGTCGCCCACTTTGCTTGCACCACACACAACTAGCATTGCAATGAAATGGAAAACAGCGTATACGGGCAATTGAGTTCTGGGGTGTTTATGTGATACGTAAGTACATATATATGGCCCGTGTACGAGAGAAGTGTATGCAGCATTAACTATTGTTGAATGTTCTTGTTGCCGTCGTCGTTGTTCCTCTCTACCATACGTTTATTATTATTATTATTGTTATTAATGTCGTGTGACTGTATATCGACAATATATAGTGAAGAATAATAGTCCATGGCTTAATTGTTGTTGTTGTTGGTTCTTCAATTGTTTACCAAATCACAAAAAGGAGACAATATGATGTGACTACCGACCGATGTTGTTGCTGATGATGACTACTATGACGATAATTGTGCTCAGGCTCTGACGCACAACCGTCATTATTTCCCCCGTTAAGGAAAACAAAAAAAAAAAAGGAACTAAAGACTTTACTTATAGGCTCTGCTATTTAGTATTCAAATGATGGGTGTCGTAGTGCTATAATTGCACTTTATGGAACTGCAGTATATTTTATTATGGCCACTTGCTGCGTGCGAACACACACACAAACACATTTCCCAGCTAAAAGGAATCTCTGGTATTTATTTATTTATTTATTTTTTTGTTTAATAAATAAATTCGTTTCTTACAATTTTAATAGATTTCCGAATGCCCGTAACAATACGTCTTATATTTGACAAGTTATTCTCGCAACTAAATCGATAACTGATGGCATGTCTATCAGAGTAGCACAAAATATCCTCTTGTTTGTCATCGCTGTTTTTTTGTTTTATAGTAGCATATCACATTACACCAAAAAAACCAACTAACCCCTTTTCTCACGACAAGATAAGTTTAAGAAGAAGGACAAAAACAACCAGCCACTGTTGCACATCAATGTAAAAAAAGCATTAAATTTCATCCTAAGGATGTGACAACTTGTGTGGCTTTTTTGGAATCAAAATAAAAATGATATTTTGATAAACATTATCTGTCATGAATTGATACAGGAAGTATGTAACCACACATCAAATTATTCTGTGAAGAGTGTATACCAGCTAGCCAAGATGAGGTCAGAATAGCAATTAATCGGCTGAAGAATAATAAAGCAGCAGGTGGATGGATGGATTACCAGCCGATGTATTCAAGGCCAGTGGACAGATGCTGGTCAGGAGCATGCACCAGCTCATTTGTACAATTTGGCTATAGGAATGCATGCCCAATGATTGGAACCTCTGCATGCTGTGTCCCGTACAAGACGATATAGTCTTCTCCCCATCGCATATAAAGTGCTATCCAGCGTGCTGTTTGAACAACTAAAGCCAATGGTCAATGACATTACTGGATCATGCCAATGCGGCTTCAGGCTGGCAAATCCACCATTGACCAGATTTTCACTTTGCGCCAGATCCTGAAAAAAAACCCATGAAAAACACATCGACACATTCCACCTATTCGTCGACTATAATGCCGCATTCGACAGCCCTATCCGTTGAGAGGTGTTTAAAGAAGATAAAATTAATCCGGCTATGCAGGATAATTTTAACTGGTACAATGGCAGCGATAAAGTAGGAAAGGACCTCTCGGAGACCTTCAATACCGAACACGGATTCAGATAAGGTGACAGTTTGTCGTGTGACCTGTTCAACATCCTGATGGAAAAGGTCATACGAGATGCAAATGTGAACAGAAATGGCACTCTGTACAACAACACCAGCATATGTTACTCGCCTACGACGACGACGACACCGACATAATGTGAGCGGTAACAGCCACCTTTGAACGAATTGAGAAGGAGTCTGCCATAGTGGGACAGACAGTAAATGGCGAAAAGGCCAAGCTGTTGGTATCAACGCGCAAGACGTCCAGTAGACTCGGACCAACTGTGGAACTTGAAAACAACAGCTTTGAATTAGTGAACGGGTTTATATACCTCGGTTCAGCCATAAACAAAACTAATAACATCAGCTGTGAAATCCGGAGGAGAATAGTGATGGCCAACATATGCTAGTATGGTCTGAGTAAGCTAATCAAAAACAAGGCCACCTCTCGCCAGACCAAACTAACACTCTACAATACACTTATATTACCCGTGCTGTTGTATGGATCTGAAGCATGGGCACTTACGCAAACAGATGAGGCGAATATCGCCGCCGTCGATGGCGAATATCGCCGTCGAATGAACCATGAGCTATATAATCTATTCTCAGGCATCGAGATAGTCAGACGGATGGAGCTGCAGCGACTACGTTGGCTAGGCCATATTGTGAGAATGGATGAAGATTCCCCAGCATAAGGCATATAAAAGCGAGCCAAGTGATGGTTCACTCAGAAGGCCACGAATCCGATGGAAAATCAAGTAAAAGACAACATCTCGGAAAATGGTCTTTCAAATTGGATGAGATGCGGAGGGTACTAGAAGTGTAGAAGTACTAGAAGAGGCTTCTATATAAAAAATATATGTCTGAGTATGGGGGAGGTACCACAGAAATAGTGGACCGATGGGTCCCATCGGTCCACTATTGTGCATAGTTTGGTTCAAATCATATAGAAACATTTATTTTCAGCAAAATGTTGACCGATTTGTGGGAGAGGTACCGGAGGGAGTGGATCGATATCATCCATCTTCGAACATGATATAAGTTTGGTATAAATATTAGGATTTTTAAAGTCTAGAAAGTATGTCGTCATTAGCAAAGACACTAGAGGCTTGATGAGGTTAGTAGCACGAACAAGACTCTCAAGCCGTAGACCGACAGACCCA